TCGTATAACGGATTGATTATCAAATAGCTAATTATATTGTATCTTAGGAGAATCTATCCTGTGGAATCTGCCTTTGTGTCGTGCATAACGCTCGGCGAAGGATGGCACAATTTTCATCATGCGTTTCCATGGGACTACAGAGCCTCGGAATTTCCAACTCCGCTAAATCTAAATACGAGGCTTATCGACCTGCTGGCATATTTTGGTCTGGTTTACGATCGTAAGACGGCGTCCCAGCGAGTTGTCCATGGTCACCTGAAAAGACACGGTGACGGCACGCATCCGATAATCGCTGAGAAAAATATTAAAGGATAAAGTAAAATCTTCGACTCTTATTCGTAATTATTGCACGGTGGCGAGGACTAAATAGCCTTCATATAGAATGTCGGCGATTAAAATTTTTATATACGTAAAGTCATCGATTACTGCGTAAATTTAGTTAATACGAGTCAAGGAGTATATTTAGTGTTTTTAAAATAGTCGTAAAGAGTCCGTTATCGTCTTTTGGATTGTTAATTTGAAAAATCAATGTTATTCTGTGCGAGGGGTCACGAGCGCGACCTAACGAAGAGTCGCGACCGCGATAGGATTTGCATACGTGAATTACATCATCCGGTCGATCTCCGTGAGACCCAAATGCGCTAAATTTAGACGGGGTCCTACTACGAAAGAGAATCGAAGAAAGGCCTGTGACGCCTGTGACGTCAGACTGTTTCGCTTCTTGGAAGGAGACGAAGACTGAGCCGCCTAAGAATAATATCGCGGAATACAAGACCGGATGCTGGCTCCATTTTTATTGTTCGATTGGTGCAGCGCATTGGAAAGAGACTGAATCTCGCATGTGCATTCTTTCAAAGCTGAACTTTCCCTGCGGTTTGCGAACGTAACCACCGACGACTGGTTATGACATACAAGAATAAATATGTTGTAGATTATTGATTGTGGTATTTTGGAAAAAAAAAATTTTTGTTCATTCTTCAAACACGTAGAAACTTGAAGAGCAATAAATAAAAATACTCCTAAATACTAGGAATTATATGGTTACAGTTTAAAATTCCTATGAAAAATCCTTCCCCCTCCCCAAATGTCAAAAAAGTGGAAAAAATAAATAAGTAAAGCAACTCGAACAGGGCAAAAACATAAACGTTAGGAGTTTGCGTTGATTCAATCGAAACGGCGCATTGGCGAATATAAGAGGTTCGGTATATCTTGTATTACGTGGAGGCAGGAGGATAGAGCGAAGCTACAGTGCACTCAGCGAGAGTTACAACGCACGTGCCGAAATCTTGTTAATACCGTTCCGCAAAGTTGCCGAGCCAAGGCCAGACCCAACGTTTCGCCTCGTCCGCAGCGATTTATTATTTGGCAGACAGGTTCGAGCACGTTGGAGCTTTTCAAACGACGAGCGCAAAGCCCGCAGCGGCAGCACGGGAAAAGACGAGTCCGTGCGAAGCGCCGTTTGAAGGTTATGTGATCCTGGCATTCGGGCTAATGTTTTCGAACGGTTCGCAGCTGTCTCGTCCGAGCGAAGAGGCCTGTGAAAAATCTCATCGATAAAGGAGTCGAAGGTACGAAAACATAAAGCAAGAATCTCAACGGTAAAGACAGTAGACGACAAACCAACCGTTAAGAATTGATCTGCAGTAAAAAATAAATAAAATCCATACGTCGTGTGTCTCCGTATGAATAAGTATATCAAAGTAACGACTCACAGGTCTCGTATACAACATCGTACTTCCTCCACTTTCTCCTAGTTCTCGGAAGTACAGTCCATTTGCCCCCAACACACGCGAAAACCCACAGACGTACCACTCGCTCCTGACAAATTTCGAAGAATCCGATTCTCGTAGCGACCTCGTTAGCTGGCGTCTCTTTTAATTGCAAATTGGAACTGTCAGCGTAACTTTATGCAGCGCGCGACGCCCAGATATAGGTTAGGTTCTCTTACGAGAAATTCAGTTAGCCGAAGTAGAGGACTGTGAAAAAGAAAAAGGAGAAAAAAGAAATAAACAGATCGCACAGGACACGTAACGAAAGCCGTGGACGTTACGTTGTAGCTTAATAGAGCGCTGAGCCATTAATAGCTTATTTTCGTACAAATATCACCATAAAAGGTACAAGCCGCCCATCGAGCCAGAACGAATGGAACCACGTACCAATCTACGTTGATGTTACACGCAGCACAACGTGTATACGCTCTGGCATTCCACGCAACTGGTTACTACTACGTTCTCTCTCTCCCTCGTCTGTCTATTCTTAGCCCTCGCTCCATCTCTCTCCGTTGCTTCGTCTACCTGGTAAGTCCCCCCCTTACACCTCGGCTACCACCCGTCCTGCAACCCTAGTAACGCTCCTGTCAGGAATCGAATCGACTTGTTGTTCTTATTGTGGCGGCATTCCAGAGACCGGACGCCGATGCACGTAACCAAACCGAACACCCTCTCGGTTGCCACTCGCCCTTTTACGATTCTCCCTGCCACCGGCAATTGCCCCGCGGTAGTCATAGGAACTGTTTTTAGACGCTTGGACGCTTATACGAAAGCCACGTTGGCGGCGCCACGTTGCACGAAGATGGTGGAAATTCATTTCGGCTCCAGAAGACACGCGAGGCTCCATGATCCAATCTGACCTCTATAATCTCAACGGAGTCGAGAATGCTAATGGTAAGAGAAGACTCGGTACGTCGTACTGCGTTAACAGCGTAACTACCAGTGGCTGTAGAGTCACTGGGAAAAGTGATAACGCCAATAATAAATTCATAAGAGAGATACGATTCGCGGCTCGTTCAAAGACCGCGGCTCATCCCTCACTCGTAATTACTACCATTACGCGAAGGCGGCCCCCATTCATTTCGAATCCCGCGCGCAAAGTACCGAAAGCACATAAAATTAGCATTTTTAGGAGTCATTCATAACTGTTGCACGCGGCAACCGTACGGCCAACGCCGATATCTATTACGACGGAAGAGGAGCCCGTGGATGGTCGCTCGACCGACCACAGACTGATAATTTAATATTTTATTATTCATTGTTGTAATCGCGGGCACTGACGTCATAACAATTTTTCCGAAAATGCCGTTTCGTTCGTTCGCCAACTTTAGGGCCAATTACGGTTCGTCCCGGAAAGCACCATTCTCCTTTAATTCTCCTATGCGGCAGCGTTAAGGCTCCGGTGCACTTTCACGCTACACGATAGTCTCCTAGGGAATATTCCGCTCGAGGGATAAAACAGAGCGCGGTTGTACCGACGGAAATTCGAGCCGATGCCGTAACCGCCGTTCCTTCGTTCTCTCGTTTTCACGATGCCATTCGATAACGCGCAATAAGCTAACGAGGCGCCGAGAGCAAAAGAACGAAACAACTTTTTTTTTGTTTACAGTCTTTCCAGGAAGCGGTTTTCGGCGGTTCTTTGTACCCGAGAATAATATGCTAAGCAGCTTTAGCTCCGTGAGAAGCAAAATATTAACGTGCAAAATACCAGTGTCGTCTGTGGGTTTAGTGTTGGGCGTTCGATGTGTATGTACACACAGTGGGATATCGATTTCTTTTAATTACAAAGTCGATATACCAACCCAACATTCAGACCATAATGCTTACGTCAATTAAGGAACTATTTATATGGATATTTTATATCGTTTGACGGAATTCTACGAAGTGTGTGTAAACCGTATGAATAATGGATGGAGATAATTTTTTTTTTTTTTTTTTTCTTTACTAAAGTGCACGTACGGGTGTTATAATTGTACGGTGAAACTAGCTGCAACGCCTCATTTCCTTGAAAATCTTATTAGAGAAGCTCGATAGTACCGAGTTATAAAATGGATCTAACGCGGCGAACGGACTGACATTCTGTTAAGGTAGCTTTCAAGCGGTGATCGACTGGAACAGCCGAAAGGAACGCGTCGTTGCCTTTAACCGACGCCGACGTCGCACTCGATCGCTTTGTCCGAGACGTATATTGGCCGGTCGGTTCACATCTGTCCAAACGTGTTGCGCGGGTCAGGCGTCCCGGCGCCAGACGTCGCTTGCAATGCGACTGACTACATGCGAGTGTCTCGAAATACTCTTCTAAGAAAAGGCCCATCCCTATGCAGTTTACACGAGACGGAAATAGCTATCGCGGTTCGCGGGCGCCGTTCACCCGAACGAATGAGTTAACACGTTTCTGTGTTGTTCGATTAGTCGCATTACATCTCTGAGTTGATCCGTGAAAAATTTAAGAAAAAAAAAATCGGAGATACCGAAAAAAAAATTATTAAAAAAATAAATAAACGAAAAAATAATTTTATTAACCAGTAAAAATTTTTGGAAAAAATTTTCGGCGACACACGACTAATTTTATTCGACTGATCACGTATAGTCGGGCGGCGTCAGCACGCTAGGCGTTGTTATGCAGTTAGTTTCTCTCTTACCGGCCGTCGATTTTCAGAGCGTCTGAGCTCCATCCGTATCGAGACACGGCAGCCCAATTTACCGCTAGAAAAATAACTCGGGTTGTGCGAGGTTCGGAAATTGATAATGTTGCCAGGGCATGAAACCCTCATCGTACATTACACTCGTCCTCGGAATAGATTATGCAATTGCATAATGCAACGCGTGAATCGCAAGAGGCTAACAATAACTAGGATAGAGAGTGGAACGACTCCACAGAAATGTATAACGTTTTCGACCGAGTTCGTCCGGCTTTCGAAGTATACTCGCAGCGACGATGCGACTCCTGGCGGACGAGCCGCTAACTCGACGCTCGCGTTTAAAAATGACAAAGCGCATTTCGTCAGTACGAATCGTTAACGAGCGAAATTTAATTGTACCATAAACCAAATGTTGTACCTTCGCGTTCCGTCGCACACTAACTTTATGGACTGTAAATGGCTAGGAAATCAATTATCGACTAATACGCGTATACGTGATATTAACGGCTAATGACGAACGTTAATTAACGCTAATGGCACCAGGAGATAATTGCCGATCGTTTCACGATATTATGGATCATTCGGTAACTCCTAATCGATTTTATACATATTTCTTTTCTGTTATATCAAGTTTTTGTGCCTCTATTTACTCTACGCATAACTTCATAATAATATAATACACTCTTGTGTACATTCCCACCAAATAGTTTGCATAAACTTACCGCCTGTAGTTCCATGTAATTTAAATGTACGCAAGACCCAGCCATCCGAAACATGCAACAAGCCAGACTATGCAAGCGATGCGAAGACTCTAAGTAAGTTACAAAGAAAGAGAAGCCTGTCTGCCGGTTTATTAATAAATCGCAAGGATAAACAAGATAATCCTGCCTAAATCCGGTATCCTCGCTATCTCCGCACGGCAATTTTGAGGCCTTCTTCCTTACAGTATAAGATATCCGTGCTGGCCAAACGAAATGAGAGGGTCAGCCCCATGGCTATTCCGTGCTAGATTCGGCTTTGTATCCTCGTACTTAGAAGCGGTGAATGGAGAGCTTATGGGGGATTTGACGAGAAGCTAAACTTATGGTACTAGGAGGTAAGAGGGGAGGGATATCTTATTCTCAGAAAAATACCATAGGTATGATCTTTTTATAGCGTACATTGAGAGCAAGAAGTTTAGACATCGGTCCGAATGCACAGTTTACTTTCAGCATGCTGAAAAGTCTTTTTAAATTTTCAAACGCGTCTAATCAGAATTTCCGATCTAACGTATTGTCCCTTAGGTAGCAGGTATATATACAGACGGCGCAGTGGGGATACGGGACTACCCGAGAATTAGCTTCGAGAAACACAACTGATTTCGAAGCTATTTTACTCAACTGTATGGGAGAATGTTGCACGGATGCATAATTCAAAGCGATTCGTAATACCCTATCCGATAATCTCTATCGCCAACCGCTCGCGGCCATTCTCTATCAATTTCGTGCAAGCATCGGCTTTTAGCGTCGTTACGAAGATAGCCTAATACAGTGGGCGAACAGAAGCGTGTATATTCATTGAGCACGTACCGTAAGGAGTACATGGCTGTGTTAACGATATCAAAATCGATATGCAGTTAAGTAC